ATATGACAAAGTATGGAAAGGGTCAGGAATCTAATTTCAGGCACAGCAGATAAGGGATCAACTATGAGAAGGGGGAAGTCAATACAGGATTGACGGTGCTGTACTTAAATGCTTGCAGTATACGAACAAGGTAAATGAACTCGTAGCACAGACTGAAATTGGCAGGTGCAATGTTGTGGGTATCACAGAGTCATGACTGCAAGGGGATCAGGTCTGGAAACTAAATATCCAAGGATACGTGTCCTATTGAAAGGAAAGGCAGATGGGCAGAGGGGGCGGAGTTGTTTTGTTAGTAAGAAATGAGATTAAATCAATAGCAAGAAGTGATATGGAGTGAGAAGGTGTGGAATCTGTGTGGATAGAGTTGAGGAACCACAAAGGAAAAGAAAAAGACCATGATGGGTGTACAGGCCTCCTAGCAGTAGTCAGGATGTACGGAAGAAAATAAATCAGGAGATAGAAAAGGTATGAAAGAAAGACACTATTCCAATAATTATGGGTGTCTTCAATATGAGGTGGACTGGGAATACCAGATTACTAGTGGATCCCAAGAAATGGAATTCATGGAATGTCTACAAGATATTTTTTGGAGCAGTTTGTGGCAGAGCCCATTAGGGAACAGGAAGTTCTGGATTTAGTGATCAACGACGAGGCAGACTTGATTAGGGAGCTTAAGGTGAAGGAACCCTTTGGGGCCTGTGACCATAATATGATGTTTGAAAGTTGAGAGGAAGAAGCTGGAATCAGATGTAATGGTGTCACAATTTTGAGTAGAGGTGATTACAAAGACATGAGGGAGAAGCTGGACAGAATAGATTGGAAGGGGAGCCTAGCAGGAAAGATGGTAGAGCAGCAATGGCAGGGGTTTGTAGGGGTTATTCAGGAGGCACAGCAGAAATCCTTCCCAAGGAAGAAGAAACATATTAAGGGGAGGATGAAGCAACCATACCTGATGAGGGAAGTCGGGGACAGAGGTGTAGTAGTAGTGTCCCGACTTCTGAGCCAGAAGGCCTGGGTTCAAGTCCTGCCTGCTCCAGAGGTGTGTAATAACATCTCTGAACAGGTTGATTTATAAAAAAAATCTAAAAGCAAAAGTAACAGCAATCAATGTGGACGATTAGTGGGAAGCTTTTAAAAACCAGCAGATGTTAACTAAAAAAGCAACAAGGTTGGAGAAGTTAAAATATGATAGTAAGCTAGCTAGTAATATAAAAAGAAATTCGCAGAAGTTTTATTTTTGGATATCTAAAAGGTAAGAGAAATGCCAAGATTGGACATTGGATGGCTAGAAAATGAGTCTGGAGAAGTAGTAATGGGGAACACAGAAATGGTGGAGGAACTGAATTGATACTTTGCATCAGTTTTCACAGTGGAAGATACCAGCACTTCAAAAGAGTCAGGGACTCATCCGAGTGTAGTGGCCACAACTAAGGAGAAGGTGCTGGGAAAGTTGAAAAGTCTGAAGTGGATAAATCACCCGGACCAGATGGACTACACCCCAGAGTTCTGAAGGAAATAGCTGACAGAATTGTGGAGGCATTTGAGGTGATCTGTCAGGAATCACTGGAGTCAGAGACAGTCCCAGAGGATTGGAAAATGGCTAATGTAACATTCCTGTTTAAAAAGGGAGGGAGGCAGAAGACAGAAAAGTATAGGTCAATTAGCCTAACCTCAGTCATTGGTAAGAATTTAGAATCCATTATGAAGAATGAGATTGCAGTTCTTGGAAGTGCATGGTAAAATAGGATGGAGTCAACACAGCTTTATGCCTGACAAATATCCTAGAATTCTTTGACGAGGTAATGAGCAAGTTATACAAAGGAGAGCCAGTGGATGTGATCTATTTGGATTTCCAAAAGGCCTCTGACAAGGTGTCACACAGGAGGCTGTTAAATGAAATAAGAACCCATGGTGTTAGGGGCAAGGTATGGATAGAGGATTGGCTGGTTAGCAGAAGGCAGAGAGTAGGGATAAAGGAATCTTTTTCAGGATGGCGGCCGATGATGAGGCTGCAGAAGACTTTGATCAAACCATATTTGTAATATTGAGTATTTTTGAGCCCCATATCTAAGGAGGGTTGTACTGGTGGTGGAGGGGGTCCAGAAAAGGTTTACAAGAATGGTCCCAGGGGTGAAGGGTTTGTCATATGAGGAGGAGTTGAGGATTCTGGGTCTGTACTCAATAGAGTTTAGAAGGATATGGGAGGATCTGATTGAAACTTACAGGATACTGAGAGGCCTGGATAGAGTGGATGTGGAGAAGATGTTTCCACTAATAGGAGAGACTAGGACCCGAGGGCACTGCCTCAGAGAGAAATGACAGCACTTTCGAGCCGCAGGGAGGAGCAATTTCTTCAGCCAGAGGGTAGTTAATCTGCAGAACCTATTGCCACAGAGGGCTGTGAGGCCAAGCCATTGAGTGTATTTAAGATAGAGATAGATAGGTTCTTGATTAGTAAGGGGCTCAAGGCTTACTGGGAGAAGGTAGAAGAATGGGGTTGAGAAACATATCAGACACTATTGAAAGTCCTAATTCTGCTCCAATACCTTATGGAAACTAGCGAAATTCATATACAGGGAAAACAAAATGAACATAAATTAACAAGGAATATGAAAAGATTGTCAGGCTTTAATAAGTATATAAAAAGGAGAGTAGCTGAATTAAATATCAGCCTCTGAGAAGCACCGAGAAACGAAAGGAAGAATGCAAGTGTGTTGGAAACAGTTCAGAAAGTTTGCTAAACTAATACAAGGAGTAAAAACAAAAGTTTCTGGAAAAGCTCAGCAGGTCTGGCAGCATCTGTAAAGAAAATAAATCAGAGTTAATGTTTCGGGTCCAGTGACCCTTTCTCAGAACAGTTCGGAGGAAGGGTCACTGGACCCGAAACGTTAATTCTGATTTTTTTCTTCACAGATGCTACCAAACCTGCTGAGTTTTCCCAGCAACTTCTGTTTTTGTTCCTGATTTATAGCATCCACATTTCTTTTGGTTTTTAATACAAGGTATATGTGGGTTGTCTTATGAGCAAAGGGTGAACAGGCTGGGCTTGTATCCACTGGAGATTTGAAGATTTAAAGGGTGACTTGATTGAAACATATGAGATCCTGAAGGGTCTTGACAGAGTGGATGGGGAAAAGGATGTTTCCTCAAACAGGAGAATCTAAAACTAGGGGCACCCCATTTAAGACAATAATAAATTTTAATAAATAGTGGAGCTCAACAGAACAAGTGGCCCTTCACTTGCTTCTAATTTGTATGTCCATATAATCAGAAGGTCTTAGAGTCATAGAGATGTACAGCACAGAAACAGACCCTTCAGTCCAACTCGTCCATGCCAACCAGATATCCTAGATAAATCCAGTCCCATTTGGCAGCATTTGGCCCCTATCCCTCTGAGCCTTTCCTATTCATACACCCATTCAGATGCCTTTTAAATGTTGCAATTGTACTCGCCTCCATCACTTCCTCTGGCAGCTCATTCCATAAATGCACCGTACTCTGCATAAAAAAGTTGACCCTTAGGTCCCTTTTAAATCTTTCCCCTCTCACCTAAACTCTGCCCTGGACTCCCACACCCCAGGGAAAAGACCTTGTTTATATATCCTACCCACGCCCCTCATGATATTATAAGCCCCAGTAAGGTCACCCCTCGACCTCCAATGCTCCAGGGAAAATAGCCTTGTTATATTTGTTCAAAGTTTGATGAGACCACATGGAGCAATATGTGCAGTTTTTGTCTCTAAATTTAAGCAAAGGCTCACTATATTGTCCCCTAGGACAAGAGACTGATTGAATTTGGCCAACATTCTCTGGAGTTTTGAAGAATGATGGATGATGTCATTAAAACATATAAGATTCCAAAGGTACTTGACAGACTCTCAGTATGTAACCTGTCTCCCCAGCTGGAGAATCTAGAACTTACAGGCACTCTCAGGCTAAGGGTCCAATCATTTAAGACTGAGAGGTAAAGAAACAGCTTCACTCAAGCAGTTGTGAACTTTTGGAACACTCCACCCCAGGGGTCACAAATGCTCCATTCTGGAATATATTTAAGATTAGGATAGACAGATTTTTGTTCACGCAGGGAATCAAAGGATTGAAAGAAGCTGGTGGGAGAGAGGAGTTCAAGATCAGCCATGATCGCAATGGTAGCCTGAGCAGGCTCAATGGGCTGAATGGTCTACTCTCGCTGCTAGTTCTTGGATAATTACCTAGAAGGGAAAGACTTGCAGGGCAATGGGAAAAGAATGGTGGCTGCCATTGGGAGAAGGATGTTTTAGTGGTGGGACTAATTGCAGACCTCTTTCAAAGAGTCAGCACATAGGGTGAATGACATCCTTCTGCTCTGCATCATTACATGGGGGGGATGAGGCTGGAAGATCAGAGTGAAGGAAAAGAAGAAAACATGGCAAGGGTGCAGAAGGCAGCAGGGTAAGAAGATCAAGCAAGATTTGAAATTATGAATTGATCTGCCATTCAATAAGATCACAGTTGAATTGATTACTCCCTCTCGACTACTCTTGTGAATCGTCCGACTAACAAAAAATCCACCCACCTCTGGCTAAAACTTGTCAGCTCATTTTGGCTGGACAGCTACAGCAGAGGGTCATTTCCTATAACAGCTGAGGTCTTCATGAAGACCCCAAATTTCTCAACCTCTCCCGAGGCACAGCAACCCTCACGTTAAACTCAGCACCACAAGTCAACGGAGAGAGTAGGTTAGAGTTCTCTGGAACTACAGTGACTTTCACTTCCTTCAAAGACTCTGCTTCCACCGCCTCTTGAGGAAGGGTGTTCTGAATTATTGTTTGAACAGGGACCCCTCGTTCTAGATTCTCCCACAAGAGCAAACATCCTCTCTCCACATTCACTCCGTTTAGACAACCCCCTCCCCAGAACACAAAAGATCAGGGATGTTTCAACCAGGTTGCCTCCGAGGCTGCAGCCGACTACAGCCGAACATACCCGAGTGATTCCGAGCCGTTCCAGCCCTCACTCACCGGTATTTTTTGAAAAGCTGGTCCGATTCCCTGAAGCCGTTGTTAAGCAGCATGTTAATCCCAGCCAGCGCCAGCTCGGCGTCGTCCAGTTCCTGCTGGGGGCAGCTGGCGGTGGGCCCCAACCCAGGCCCGGGGACGGGGACGGAGGGAGCCGAGCCCGAAGCCTCCCCACGCCTGCGATCCATCACCTCAGCCGCCGGAGTCCGGTGAGACAGTAACCGGGACTCCGCTCCCTAGAGTTCCCGTCCGGTTAAAACAAGAGATGTAGGGACCTTACTGCGAGAGGGCGGTCCCGGCGCCGGTTACGCCCGGGTCCCGCCCCCCGTCCCGCCTCACGCCCTAGACCCCGCCTCACGCCATAGGTCCCGCCCCCCCGTTCCGCCCTCACACACTAGGCCGCGCCTCCTTCCCACTTTATGTCCGTGCACCCACTCGCACACCCGGGCCACTAACTTCAAGGCCCACGTTCCGCCCCCACACTTCAGGTTCCGGCACCAAACCCTAGGCCCGCCCCGACGCCAAACCTCCGCCCACATAAACTAGGCCCTGCCTCTACATCCGGTCTGCGCCCCTTCCCTCATTCCAGGGGGCAACGCTTCAATCCCAACACCTCAGGCGCCGCCTCCACATCCTGGCCCCGCCCTCGCTCCACCCCAAGACGCACGCTCCGCCCCCTCACCTCAGGTTCCGCCGCCAAACCTTAGGCCCGCCCACCCCTCCCGCTAAATGTTGCTCCTTTCGCGTCCGCTTGCCTGGCCCGGCCTGTCCCGCCGTTCACCTTCCGACACGCAGACGTTACCATGGCAACGAGGTCCCGCATCCCGCCCGCCCCCAACCAATCAGACCAACCGTCCCAAAGACAGTCTCCCCCCCCCACCCCCCCCCATACCGGACACATTCTCACCAGGACCAACCGTCGCGCCTGATTGATGCGTTGGAGGTAATTTATAAATGAATGCTGCTGCACATCGGTCATTTGGAATGGAATAGAATATTCTTTATTGTCACTTGTACAGGAGTACAGTGAAAAGTTCTTACAATGGCTGCCTTTTAATGGCGCCATCTCAGGGACAAGTACCTGGGTACAAATCTTACAGAGTAAAGAAAAAGTGTTCTTACACAAAGAGGATTAAAGGAAAGCATTAGCATAGTTTACAGAGGTAGTTACAACATGGTAGAAAGGTTTTAACTGGGTGTAACCAGGTCACAGCCAGCTCCAGACATCTCTTGTTATTAACAACAGATGGTTAAAGTCGGTGAGTCTGTCTATTTGCAATCATTTTACTCTTCCAGTAGACATTGAAAATTAAAATTTAATTTTAAAGACAATAAATTTCAGGTGGTACCAATTTTGTTGTCATCAATACATGACTGTTATTACTGAGTACTTCACAAAGCATATGTTGGAACATAGTATCCCTTTGGCCCAACAAGTCCACACCACCCCTCACAGACCCATCCAATCTACACATCCCTGAGCACTATGGGCAATTTAGCATGGCCAATCCACCAACTGTGCAAGGAAACCCCCACAGACACCGGGAGAAAGTGCAAACTCCACACAGCCAGTCACCCAAGGGTGGAATTGAACCCAGGTCCCTAGTGCTGTGAGGCAGCAGTGCTAACCACTTAGCCACTGTGGTTGTTGTTTTCTGATCCTGCTGTTCAAGGACATCCAGGAGGGCCACCCTGTCGAATTCTTGTGGGAGAACCACACAACCTTGGATACACCACAGATCGGCGCATCCTGGCGCGACCATGTGAAGTGGGTTCATTGTTGTCTTATCAAGATGGCAGCGGAGTAGCAGCACAGTGTGCAGGCTCCTGCCCAGAGCTCATCTACTCCACATGCTTTTACATTTTTTTTCTTCATTAACAGCTTTCTTTTCTCACTTTAATCTGATACCTTCTGTGGAGAGATCAGCAGCTTCAAGGTGTCCAGCACACCTGAGGCAAGGTTTCTTCCTAGTTGGCAGCGTGCAGGGAGTTGACTTTGGTGCAGCGCGGTGGAGATCGAGTCCATTGTGTGGGAGACCGAGCTCAACATGAAGGAGATTGAGCATATCAGGGTGGGGGGTGCGCCAGTGAGAGAACGTGGGGAAAGGTCAAGAGATCGAGCCCAACTGGTGAGGGGGACAATGAGAGAACACGGTGGTGGGGGAAGGGCGTGAAAGCGAGCACAACCCAAAGGAGATCGAGTGCAATGTGGGGGACAGTGACAGAGTATGGGAGACAGCGAGCCAAATTCGGGGAAGATTGAGTCTGAGGTATCCCGGCATCTGTGGAGCATGGAGGAGATCAACACCAGCACGGAGGCGATCGGACCCATGTGGTGAGTGTGAGTCCAGCATAGCAAAGCACTTAAGAAGGGGGTGTCATGTTGAACTTTTATTTCTTTATTATTCTACTTTATATTAAGAACGAGTTTAATGTTGAATTTTTAACTTTGTTTACTTATTTTTCTACTTTGTACCTAAGATTTCGTATCTCATTACCTTTGTACCTAAGATGGCACCAAAATGGTGACATTGTACACTTTTCACTGTAACCCTGTATCCCTGTACTTGAGCACACATGTCAATAAAATCTATTCCTAATTGGACATTTACAGGCGGGATCTGAGACAGAGCCATTAGAATTTAGGATAGTGTGCCATTACTCAGCCATATTAGTGAACCTGCACCCAGAAACAGAACATATCCTGGGCTCCGGTTTCATGCATAAATGCAGTTTGTCATTTGACCCAATAAATTGTTGTGTTTGGCTGATGGCGCAGACAACCGAGGTACCAATAGAGGTAACTTCAGGGAGATATATAGACAGGGTTTGTACAGTTGGTGAATTTGGGGTAAAACTTGCAGATATGGCTGATGGCATGGGAGCACAGGAGATTATTGTGGTGCACACAGTCACATTCGCAGGGCACAAACATGACAATGGCCGCAAGACGGGGTGGTAGTTGTAAAGGGCCCCATTCTAAAACCCCAAAAACAGTACAACTTTCCTAAACAAGCCAAGGGCACGTTTCTGAAAATAATCACCAGCCTACTACATCAGGGATTCTTTCACCCTGTAACTTCAACAAACAATTCACCAATTTGGTCTGTTAGAGAACAGGATGACTCTTGGAGACTAAGAGCCAACGGTAGGAAATTAAATGAAACTAATAGCACCAACAGTAGCAACCAATCCTGAGACAGTGATGAAGCAAACCCCACAAGTGAAATATTAGATATTAGTAATAGATTTTGGTCCATCCCTTTAAACCAGCAGTTTCAATACAAATTTGCCTTTACTTTCCAAGGGCAGTTGTACACATAGACCTACTTATCCCAAGAATTTCAAAACTTCCCGTCCATTTTCCACCAAAGATTGGCCAAAGGGCTAGTAGGTATTTCATGACTGCAAGCCTGATTCAATATGTAGGTGATCTCCTCCAACAGATAGTTACCCGGGAGGAACATCTAAGATTACTAGATGGATCGCTGACCCTCCTTCCAAAACTCAGATTAAAAGTCAATCCCAATTTGGCCCAGATCATCAAGACCTAAGTCACATATAGTACCCACGAGCTACAGTGACCCACAGCAAACAAGAATTTGAAAGGAAGCAAATCTAAATAATAGCCCAATTGCCCCAAAGATGTGAACTCGCTACATTCCTTTCTAGGATTGGAGGGATATTCTAGGAACCACATTAGCGGTTTTGTCACCAAAGCCTCAGAACTCCTAAAAAAAAGAATGCCCCGTGGAATTGGGCAGAGCAGCACACAAGGGCTGTCTGTGAATTAAAACAAGCCCTGGTGAAGGCTGCAGTATTACTGGTGCTAGACCAAGAACTCCTGTTTGCACTACACGTTGCCACTGCAGGCTCAACACTGTGGGCTGTACTTCTCCAAGTGTGCCACAGGACACTTGGACTAATGGCCCCACACTTCCTATCCCCAGTGGAACAGGGTTTCTCAGTGTGTAAGAGACACCTCCTGGCAGTCTTCTGGGCAACACAGCACCACCTACATCATTGGACGCAATCCCCTCACCATATCCCACAGAACATAACCCCATAAACCTGCTACTGTTCAAAGGTTGCACAGTTAGCTGGACCCACATAACAGTGGACCCTGAAGCTTCTGGGCTGTGACATTAAAGTCAAGGAAAATTTCCCACTTTCTTACCAGAGAATTTGAACTGTGGTGAAGAGTCCCATGAGTGCCAAATAGTGGCAACAAATGATGCCAAAGGACCAAATCAAAAGAGGGGAGGACCCAAGGAAGACACACCCAGAGAAGGCACGATAAAAATTTTTGTAGATAGACCCTGTACGGTGGAGGATGTGAATAGAAAGACAGGGTGCAGGAATTGCCTGGAAGACCAACAAAGTAGACTGCAAGTGGAGCTAGCTTTAATGCTATCCAGCAAAATGAGTGCCCAGTTAGCAGCAGTAGCCCAGATAGTTAATTAGCCCACCACAGATATACATTCAGGCAGCGTATGTCTGTAACAGACTGACAGACTTCTTGTTTGTCTTGGCAGAAGTAAAACCTTTACTATGCACACCCCTGCATCTTCCAGGCTGCCCAAGGCCATGAGAACGGCATTGTTAAAGTTAGGGCCCACCACAGCCCATGCAGATGGCAGCTGCCATTAAATCAGGGCAGAAAAAGAAACAAAGGAAGGCCTACTTTGATGGCAGAGAAAACTCAATAGAGTATGAGGTAGGAAAAAAGGTAATGCTCCAGGTTTTCCAACTGGACACATTCTTGACCCATAAATACTCTGGACTCCACTCCATAGTGGATAAGACAAGACTGTCATTTTGCAAGATCTTAGGGAATCTGGGAAGGTCGGATGATATCACATAACCCAGATAGGGGCATACGGCCCCAAAAGCAACATCAGTTTCACATACACAAAAACAGAAGTTGCTGGCAAAGCTCAGCAGGTCTGGCAGCATCTGTGAAGAAAAAATCAGAGTTAACGTTTCGGGTCCAGTGACCCTTCAGTTTCACACATCCCGAGAAGAATGTGAGACACCGGCCTCTCATCCCAACCCCTTACCTCTGATCCAAATCCCATGGAACCAGGAAGAAATGCCCTGGCCACCCTTACCACTGCCACGAACCAGGAAAACCATGCTCAGTTTGCAGAGCATTGAGGAGTCATCTTTGCTCCAAGGCTCACAGATACATTTGCTCAGATGTTCCAATGAGGGGACAAGGCTGAACAAAACTCCACAGCCTGAGTCCACCTGTTCTGAACAGTATTTCCCCTTACCTTCCTGTCTTAAATAGCTTCTGGGCTGTAAGGTATTAGCATCTGGCCAGCTATCTTCTCCCATTCACACAGAATGAAAGAAGTAGTCATGGCCCTAGCGTTATATGCTTCTATTTAAGAGATACTAATTCTTAAACCCTCAAGCCAGTATTTATGCCTGCCAAAATTCAGAGACCAAAAGGGGGAAATCAATTTAAATATAAATGACTATAAAAGGATGGAATGAAGAGAATGAGGCAGTTAACTCTGAGGCTATGGTCCTGAATCTAATAAGGGAAACTTCGCTGGTATGAGGCTTGATGGATTGGGAAATGTTACTGAAAGGA